TTTTTTTTGTGTTCACCTTTTAATAATAATAATAATAAAAACCTCGACTTGGAATGACAGTCAGTTCAATTTGGATTTTCCATTCTGCAGCTATTTGATCGGTCGGGTATGCTATATGGAGAGCTTGCAAGATTTGTCCTTAGACTGTTGGGAGTCCGAACAAAAGCCACGAAAGTTCATCCTCCCGGCTTTGAAGGCCAGCGTGGGCCCCACAACTTGCCAGGAGCTCAAAACTACATCGAGGGGCCCAAGGCTGCTCCAAATGGCGGTGGCTGGGATAATGTTTGGGGTGGCGAAAGCGATGCTAAGTGATTGTGTTCCGTGACTGGTATTAGTTGCGTCAATATCTTCTAGCAAACTTGATGAGAGTTGTGTATTGGAAGATACAGAGCAAGTCCACTGTAAAAGAAATATTGACTGCTTGCAATAAAGGAACAGAAAAATTGAAAAAAAAAAAAAAAAAAAGGTTCATGTCATGTAATACTGAAAGGAAACGATGTTGTGAGGAAGATGTTCTCTTCAGTTGTAGCGAAGTACTGAATGTATTTGATTTGTACTATTTTGGGGTCATGTCGCATGTGAGGGTACACAAATAGACGAAAGAGTTTAATTGTAATCTCTTTTGTGTTGTGTGGTTGGCAAATCAGTTGGGGGATATTTGACAAGAACAACATTCTACATTTTTCAACCAAAAAACAAGAGTCTCAAATGTACACATGAACCAACTAGTCCCCAAAAAGAACACCATAATCAAGTCTTTGATCTTCAAGTTCATTAACCAAAAGAAATAAATATATATGAAAAATAAAATCTCTATAAAAATGTTGGCCATATTCTTCTGCTATAACCGAAACGCCCAGTCGGGCGCAATGCACATTATCTCATCGTCTATTATATCCACATCACCTCTCAAACACTTGAACATCACGACGGCTCTCAAACTAAGCTGCCGGCACGAGCCCAAATAAAGCTTTCGAAGTCCCGGGCACCCATTCCTCAGTGCCTGATGCCCTCGATCACACAAATTCTGGCATCGATTCACGTGAAGTCTCTCCAGTTTACGACAGCTGGCACCGATCGACTCCCAACCTGAAACTTTAACTCCGTGACACAATGCCAAGTTCCACTCCTCAAGTAACGGGCAACCCTCAGCGATTCTTGCTATGATATCATCCCCAATAGTTCTGCACAGCCGAAAATTCACAACTCTCAAGTTCGAGATGCACCGAGTGTCGCCACCTGGCATACCGAACGCACTCCCGAACCAGAAAAGGTTGGATAGGTTGAGATATTTGAGCCCACCTCCGCTAATGGCAGCTGATATTCCTCCCGGGCTGAGCCTGCTGCACGAATCGGCCTCCAAATACTCGAGAGAGTTTGGACAGCCTTGAAGACCCGTGCCTTTTACGTTCCTACAGTGAGATATGCTGATGGCTCGTAAATGACGGCAGTTTTGAGAAAGTGATCTTATTCCGGGATCGGAAATAAACCCACAATACGAGAGATTCACATCTTTTAGAGCCAAGCAAGATCTCGATAGGGTTTGTAGCCCAGCATTAGTGATATTACATCGGTACAGGCTAATGATAACTAATCCAGGGCAGTCACTAGCCATGTACGAAAGCCCGTGATCCCTGATGTTAAAACAACAATCGAGATTCAAGCTTCGCAGAAGTTTTGGCCAGACATGGGCTAACTCCGAAAAACCCGAATCAGAGAGCTCGGTGCACCCGGATAGGGATAATGACTCGAGCTGCGTGAAGCGGTTGAGCAATTTGTACAGATGAAAGGAGTTTATTTTGGTCGAAGACTGAGAGAGTGAGATGGGGGTAAAATGGGAGAGTGAGCAACATAACTGCAGAGACCGGCGACTCGAGTTTTGAATATGAAGCCACCGGTGGCAAGTCAGTCCGAACGACTCACGATCAGAACTCGAGTCGAGCCTTTGAAATATAAAATGCAAGCAATCATCGGGAAGATGAAGGATGGATGTTAGTGAGTCGAATTGGCTATTTTTCATTGTTGGTTATATTTTGTTACGCTAGCTGTTTTCTTCGGAAGGCTGTAAAGCTCGAATCTTTACCACGATTTTCTTATAGGATGAGCGGGATGAAGTTGGTGAGTCGAGACCACAAAGAGCGGTTGAATCTCCATACCCATAACCGATGAGAGCTCCACAATTACGGCAAAGAAGCTTGGATTTCGAACGATAACGGCCCCAAGTTATAGGAAGGCAGTGCACTTTATCGACTTGAGTAAAACGACTGGGATCAATGGAAAGAAATGAGATAAGACCCTTGTGGATAGATTTGCTATATCTAGAGCTAATGCTGGAAGTTGCACGGTTTGAAGATGTTAAGTTCAGATGATATCCACAAGAACCACAGCTGCAACATTGTGAAAATAAAACACTTGGTTAGTAGTTACATAACAAAAGTATAACCAATCATAAAGCGACAAAATTGTCGAGGAAAAACGAAGACCAATAAGTACTCAAGCAAAAGGTATTACTTTTCACAGGACTTGAAGTACTTTTGTTTCAGTCTTGCCCTCTGTTCATAAGGGTCTCTACTTTTTCTTGTCATGTTGTGTTTCAAAGAAAAATATATATATATATGTATATATATATATAATATATATATATATACACAAAAGAAAATGACTGAGAAGAGATGGAGTGAGAGGATAAAGGATCAGAGGATAAAGGATCAGACTCTAATTTCTTAACACTAGAATTTGCACCATGTCGCAGCCTCGGCATAGATATCAATATAATATGCTGCCAATATTCTTGTACATTTAATATGACTGGTGGGAATATAAGAACGGAGTTAATTTCTGTGACAAATTTTGAAACCAATGGCCAAAATGCTAATGCTTATGTATGATCAACTATAGAAAATGCTCAGTTTCGAGACTTCACCAAATGAAAAGAAGTAGTGATTCGTATTTCATAGGTCGTATACAAGCAGCAACAGGAGATTAGCAGTTAACACAGTTTCGAATTAAAGTTCTGTATGAAAACTCAAATGAATTTAACAGACGATTGAGACATCAATCCACAAAACCACACAGCCACATGAACCCGAATAATTCTCAGAACCAATAGAGCCATAACGACTGAAATCACCACATCAACATGAGATTAGCAGTTGACGCAGTTTCGAATTGAAGTTTGGCTTGAAAAATGAAAAGTGAAATGATGAAACCAGCAAAACCAGATGCAGCCTCTTTATCTTACATATCAAGCTGCCCCAAAATTAGATCACAATCAACTTTAACAGACGATTGAGACAACAATCCACAATATCACACAGCCACATGAATCCCAATTATTATCAGAAGCAATTGAGCTATACCAACAGAAATCACCACAAAAACACCCAAATATTGATCCCAAATGCAAACACAAATAAAAAATCAAACTTTCACGAAATTTACAGGATTCAACAACCTAAACGCAACGACAATAACATGAACAACCATATCGAAAAGCCCAACAACTAAACGCGATTAAAAACTGGGAATAATTTGGGATTTAATTCTTCACCTGTACGCGACATCAGCTTGGGACATTTCTTGGTAAGAAAATCAAACATGAGCTTCGTCTGCAGAAAATCTGCGTTGCCCAGAAAGTTTATTTGCTGAAATATAAAGAATTTCAGACTTTCAGTAGCTGAATTGGCAGTCTAAAAGCAAAAAAGGGAGACGTCGCCTTCCTTCTTGCTTCGAACGCTGTTCTTGAATATCGACGTCATATTATAATATTATCTAATATTTATTCCATTTTTTTTTATTTTATATTTATGATATGTAATTTAAATTCAAGGTCTACAGAATGTTCACAAGTTTGAATGACTTTATTTAAATTTTATGAAAAGGCAAATTTATGAACAATTTGATTTGGTTTTTTTATAAGAACCAATATTTTATTTATTTTATTTTTTTAGCATAAATATTTTTAAATTTTTACTACAATATATACCAAATACATTTATCTATATATATATATTAAAAGCCAACATATTTACCAAAAACAATAGCAAGAAAAGTCAACACACATTTAATGCATACTTTATTTAGAAATTTTTACTATATGCATTAAATGCTTGCATATTTACATTTACTATCCAAATATGATCTTAAAGATTTTTTCCTTAAATAATTTATGCAATGATTTTACTGATATCCATTATAATTAATATTTGTCGAGTAATATTTTTTTAACCTTTATTTAATTATAGAACACTAATATTTTTTTAAAAATTAATATTATTTATTATTTAAAAGATAATGATCACATCATTAAATGATTTTATTGATGGTTATATAATAAAATTATATTAGTTATTCTTTAAAATTTCGACATGTTATTTATTTGTATATTATTATCAACTATGATAGTGTTTTTATCACTTTTTTTGTTATGTTTCAAAAATGAACTTATTGTAAAATATTTTCTATTGCATAGTATGTTAAATAAACTATAAAACCTTAGGATGAAAAAAAGAATTATTATGAGAAAATTGAATTCTAATAAACATGTGTGTGTATTTTGTAAACATTTACTCAAAATTTTATTTTGAATTTCATTACATAAAGAAGACTACTTCTATACCTTTTATAAATAATAATAATTACATTATATGACTGTAAATTTTATAATAAAATAATAATTGAGTATTATATGGTGAACAATAATTAATAAAATTTTTATTTTTTCTTATATCAATGAATAAATATGTATTCTAAAATCAAATAAATATTAGTATGACGTGTTAGCGGAATTATATATTAATTAACATATTAATTTTTTGGCAAAATAAACGCCACTTATTAAAAGATGTGAAATATGGATGATCCAAGCCTATTGTTTTTTTGTCTTGAATGCAAGATATTGACTGGTGATCATGCTGGTGACACAATGTTGATTCCTAGAATGAATATTACTCCTTCTGATCTTAAGATTCCATTTAAGTTTCAGCGGCGACAATTCCCACTTATGGTTTTGTATGCTATGACCATAAACAATAGTCAGAGCCAGTCTCTATGCACGTTGGTCTTTTTCTAAAGAAGCCTGTCTTTAGTCATGATCAATTATATGTTGTTGTTTCGCGTGTGACTAATAGAAGGGGGTTGAAGATATTAGTTTGTGAAAATGAGGAGTTACTCGATAATCAAACTCATAATGTTGTGTACAGGGAGGTCTTTAATAATATATGATTGTTTTTTTTCAATACTATTTTATTGTACAATTTTCGTGTGAATTGCACAACTTTTATTGAATATTGCATATTAAATTATAATACTCCTCAAATGAATATATCCCGTGTCTCGCACAGGTCACGTACTATATATATTCCGTATATTTTTTTATTCATTTATATAATTATAAGGTTGGATATATAGCCTTAAAATTGTGCACCCGTGCATCCACGGGCTCTGTACTAGTTACTTTTATGTGGTGTGATATTGTAGGTAATTTATTATATATATATATATATATATATATATATATTTATAATCTATACTTATATTAAAAGCTATACTATTTACTAAATGTAGTAAGTAGAATAGTCAACCCTAATTAATGATTTACTATTTTTATCAAGCATTTAATTAATATATCTAATATTTTTGGTATGCAAATCAAATTAGCATTTAATTAGTTCCTAAAATTTTGGGTATGCAATATTAATTTAGAAATATTCATGTATTTCCTAAAATGTTGGTATGCAATATGTAAAAGAAGATCTTTTAATTTTTTTTAAATGTAAAATATTGCAACACGTAAAACTATTCCAGTTATTTTTTATTTTATTTTACATATAAAATTTAATCAATATTTAATGCATCCTACAAAATTAGATTTAGTTTAATTCTCCATACAATTGGTTATAACTTTTTCAGTTGTACTTTATTTATTTATTTATTTTATACTTTTAAATTAATTAAGCTCTCCGAAAATACCAAATCAAATGATTTATGAAAGTTTTTTTTTTTTTGTTTTTTTTACAATTTTAAATCTATATACCCAGCTTAAAAAACTCATCGTATAGATATGGATAAGTTTAAGAAAAATTTTATAACCCAGCTTATAAAATTCCATCTCCACGAGTCAAAAAATCACATCCTTCTATCGTAACAACTTTAAAGGTAAATAAATAAAAGTCTAATTACTACTATA